GTTTGCCGCTGCCCGGGGTTTTCTCCCCGTCGCCCCCCCCCGTCCCCGTCCCCCCCCCGCCTCGGAGCTCGCTCGGTTGCAGTTGAGGAGAAGGTTGTGCCTGTGGGGCGCCGGTAGCGAACCGAGCCGCCCTCGGGTCTCCGCAGAGCCCCGCAGAGCTTCCCTTGGGGCCCGGGCCAGGCGTGAACGCTCCGCTCGCCTTCGAGGCGCAGGCCTGGGTCAGCCCCGGTCCGCCCCGTCGCTCGTTCCTCGCGTAGGACGAGCTGTGGTTCATACCCGATTCTCGCACCGTTTACACCCTGTGCGTTGCAGAACCCATTCCCGTCGTTATGGAAGTGGGGTACAAAACACCGTGAATTTCTCAGCGCTGTGCTGGAATGCAGTTAATTAGCGTGTTTTGCTTACCACGATGCTAGTGCGATGCAGTGTGGAGTACGCAGTGAAATGCAGCACTGCCTGGCACTGTTGGGATGCAGCAGTTATAAAATTGGATTCCAGCTACACCTGTAAATGCATTGGAGGTTAGGCTTTGGTGCTGAAATAAAGTAGAGAAGCTAATGCTTGACTTGGGCTGCAGACCTGTGTCGGCGTGGAGGTGGTGCTGTGGAATGTAAATGTGCCCTTTCTTAGCACAAAAGCATTGTTCCAGATATGCGTTTTCTACTTCGAGGGGCCATTATGGGCACCTAATTCTATATTGGTCACCAGAATAGTCTGCAGCAGACGTTTCGGAAAGCGCTTATTGCTTTTTCATACGCTCAGGACAACTGAATATGCTGCACCAATTGGCTACAAGATCCCAAAGCTGCCACTCATCTTAAAAATCTAAACTGATGCCTGCAGCACTGATGTCAATTTGTATGTATAAAGGCTTAATACGGCAAAGGGAAATGTACTGGCAGACAACAGGAGGAATGTGTGAGGAAAGAACTGGAACCGTGAAGGATACTTTATCAGTTTAATGTCTATTTTATTCATATGGAGTAAGATTTGCTGATTTTATGGGGAGGGGAATACTGTTTCTGCTACCCATTTAATAGCTATTTCTGCTATCATTACTGAAACATCAGCAGGGTCATTTGAAATGTGACTGCAGGATACGTTAAGCTGAAGATCACCTGCAGTGTGATGGCGCTTGCTCTTGACAGTCTGTCTGTCCCTGTATCCTCTCTCCTGCAGCAGCCATTACCTACTGAATAAGGAGAGCCTTTCCTTAGTTTTCCTCATTTGTGCCGAGGAGGCATTGCCCGCCTTGTGCTGAACCTGTGCCAACGTCCCAAGGACAGATGAGCCGTGTCATTTTATCCTGACATGTTTCTGTTGATACTATTCTTATTCATGTATCCGTTTTAATCGTTTATGTTTGATGTCATCGAGCAGCAATGCAGCGTTCTGGTCGAGTTTGGCCCCCACTGTAAAACAGAAAAACAAGATGACGTGCCATCCACGCTGCTAAATAGATGACTCTGCAAGGCAGATGCACCTGTCCGAGGCACCTAGCCGAGGTTTAGGTATTAGCAAAGTCTTTCCAACTTACTTGTCCAAAATAGAAATCCATTTACCCTTCATAAGCTGTTCAGTGTCTTTCATGCTGCTTTTCCCTAATCGATTATAAGCTATTTTTAGCCTGCACCGGGATTTTCTAAATTCCATCCTCGTACGTTATCCTGTTTGATGCTTTGGAATAAAACAGGCGGCAAAACTGGCCTTTGAGCAAGAAGTCTCGCAGATTTCACAGCAGTGGCCAATAAATGTGAGAAGAAAACTGTCCAGCAATATCCTCATTAACTGTGATAATATTCACAGTTGATCTGTCAAATCTTTTCGAGCAGAGTTTAAGGTCAATTCTGGAAATCACGTGCCTCGTTATTCTTGTAGGCCAAGCTGGTGAGAAGTGGAAGGGAAAGAAAAGGATACGCGTTCTGGAGCAGCATAATAGGGGTCACCAGCATCCTACATTGCACCTAAGCTGCTCCTTGAGTGTCCTTCTCACAAGCCTTGAAACGAGGTGGGTTTTGCTGTGGAGGTTTAAAATAAGACTTGGGTGACACTTTTACCCCTTTCCAGATTGCTGACCCTGAGACCTGTGACCAAATGTACGAGAGCTTAGTCAGGATCCACACCAACTACTACAAAAACAAGGTGAGCTTTGGCATTAGCCATCATCCCTCTTTTAGGGGGCGAGTCACCACCTGCTGCAGTTGGCTGCCTCGTCCCAGCAGGGTTTCTGGGAGTGTGTAACAGACAAATGAGCCGTCAGGTGGATGCAGCACTACCTGGTGCCTTTGGTCACTCTGGGAAAGCTGCAGACATCTTGGCCTCCGTGACATGTATGAACAATGCAGACGATAGTTCTTGGTACGCGTGAACAGAATTCTTAGAGCTTGACTGAAAATGAGCTCAGACTCTACTGTATGGTGACATTTGTACCTTTTTTTAATGCACGACAAGTAACATCTTTTTTCTCTCTCTCTCTCCTCTCACCTACGTGCTCGCTTGTGAAGTATCCACGCCTGAAAGACACAAGCTTCACTGGAGTGACAGTAGAAGATTGCAAGATGATACTAGCAACAGGTACTGATACTGTGCTTGATTTGAGAATAAGTCAGTGCAGGAGATAAAGTACATTCCAGTCTTTGTGGTGTTCACTGCATCACTTCTACTAAACACCTGTGACTAAAGGACAGAATGGGATGGCCGTGCAAGTATCTTAGGATGTTTAATGAGGAGTAAGTTCAGGAATAATTGAGGAGATCTTCAGTAATCTATCAGGGCAAAAAGTCGATTGTATTTTGCACTGGGCAGGAACAGCAAAGGGTTTACAAGGGCTCTTTGAGATCAGATAGCAGGAGCTGTGCGAAAGACATGCACATTTGCTACATCATTCCAAAAATTCTCAGCTTCTGTTTCACCATGTTCGAATTCCCTTCAGTATTTCTCCTTTTGTATTAGACTTCGAGAGAAAACAGGGTACCACGATGCAGAAATACTCTCAGCCAGATCATTTATTAGGTGCAATGTAGGAAGCTAGTGCAGTTTTGTTCTGCTCCAGTTCCTAACTTTGACTGCAGTGCGTGGAAACTGAGTATTAGTTGTTAGTGATAAGGGACTCCCCGCACAATTGATTGGAAGGGAAAACAAACTTGCCGCAGGCCCCGAAATAGAAATTCATTAAGATGAAAAGTCGAAAAAAGGAAAATACATGTGAGGCAAAGCTTTTATAAGAGGGCTTTCGTTCCTTTGCTTTTCTTCCTCTTTCCCCATCTCTCTCTCTCTCTCTCTTCCCCCCTCCTTTTGCAGACATTCTGAAACAGATGGAAGACATGAAAAAAGGGACGTGGAAAAAACTGCGAGAAAAGTTTTATGCCAAGAAACCTGAAGAGGACTCGAAGTGATAGGCTAACGCCCAGTTCTCCACTGTATATATTCCTAAAGCACTGTATGTTGCCATGATGAATAAAACCATTTATTCCTCTTAGCAACAGCGTTTTTGTTCAGACCTACACCTTGCACCCTTCACTTTTAGTGCCCTCTCTTTTTTTTTCCTGAAAAATCTAGGACATAGCTTAACACGTCTGTGCTGAAACGATACTGGAGCAATGTAGTGTAGAAGAAAGCACTTTGTGGTGTTAGACCAGATCCTTTGTGGTACAAGAAATGGAACAACCAGGAGATGCACAGAGCAAGTAGGTACAGCTGTGTTAGCTTTAAATTTGCTTGTGAAGGTAACAGTAGTGATGATGTGAAAACGTAGCTATGCTTGTGCTTCTGTGTGTTAGCACCGGTAACTGTGAAATTGAGGGAGGGATAATTTTAATAATCACATTTATTTTCCTTTTGAGAAGACACAGGAGAGGACTGAGGGTGAGTTTACCATGGTGACGGTGGAGCAGTGTAAGAGTTTAATTGAGATTTCAATCAAATGCTGCAGCAGTGTGTTGCTGGTCCAGCTAGCTCTATGCAGATCTCCCTCAGCGTGAGGAGAAGGTTCCGTATGGGTTACTGCATAGCTGAGGGATAAAGATAGGTTTTAACGACATGTTGGTATATAGGGCCATAAACAAAAATTTCAAGTGTGATTAGTCCATTGCTGTGGCCTATTTTTGTTCCTTTTTAAAGCTTTAATGCTTGCATCAGCGTCTATTCTTGGGAGGTGGCGGCACAGGACTGTAGTTGGGGTGGCTACGGCACTGCTTGGCTTGGGAAGGAGCGGTGTCTAGAACAGAGCTATGCCAGGACTCTGCTTGGCTCCAGGCAGCACCAACAGCTGCTCCTTTTTATGTATTTGAACAGTGTTTTCCTGGCAAGTAGTGAAAGAATTTGAAACTTTGCAGCAGGCTCTAATCCAGAGCTTCAGAAAACAAGGCTGGTGTTCAAGGTAGTTCTTCATGGTAGTATTCTTCATCTTCTGACTGGAGCACTGTACTACATTTTAAAGTTTTAACATCTGGAGCTGCGAGCAGTGGGTCATGGAGCAATACAGCCCCAGTTTGGCTTCAGGTCTTTGGATTGTTCTGTATTTCTATTTATAATAGCCCTGTTACATACCAGAGTGCACAGGAAGGGCGCTTTCTTTACCATGTTTAAGTTTTTATTATAACATGATTTTGTATTTAATTTAGTTAAGGCAATTTACACTTTAGTTCTTAAGTAACAATAACAAAAAAAGTAAAACATTACACCAGAGATTAAACTACAACACAGGACACCCCTTCACAGTGAACTCCTGTAAACCTGCACTCTCCTACTACTACTGCCCAGATATTCTTGGTCCACAGAAGGCAAAAGACTAGTTCGCACTAGTATGAGCTTGGATACTCATCCTCATCTGGTGAGTTAAATTAACAAATCCATCTCCTTGAGTTTAGCTCCTGCTTACTGCACCACAGTGATGAACAGAATTCTTTAAATGGAGAGGGATCAGCACGGAGCAGGTACAGCAAATACGACGGCTGGTTTGCAAAGATCCACAGGTACTAGTGCCACTCTTGGAATAAGTTAAATATTGCAGCCCTACAGCTAGTTACACTACACCTGAGGTAGGGGCCCTCAGAATGTAGCGCATGGAGATAAAGATACAACCCTCCACATTTGCAAAATAAAGAGTTATTGCAATGAGGAATAAAAGTCCTGTATGATTTATCTTCCTACAAGGGCATTAGAGTAACGTGTGGGTCCAGGTATCGTGAGGAATCCTGGCCAGTCCCTGGTTCCCGAATTGCTTACAAGCGCTCTAAGGAAAATGTTGACTGTGAAGCTCTTCGGCATGGTCCGTCTTCTTCTGACGGTGACGTCCATGCATGGAACCCAGGAATAAGCAGCCTCGTTAGCTGATACATAGGTGTAGTCCCCCGGTGGGTGAAGCCGATGCTTCTTCTCCGTCTTAGTGGTTCATGGTATTCTGGACGTCCACAAACCCCATCCTTTGTCTGCGCTTCCGTTGCTCTGTCATCTAGAGTTCAAACAAGGACACAAGTGAGGTAGGAAACCGGGCCGCCTTTCTATTCACTAACGTCCTCCTCCAGCGTGCGACTGACCAGGCTGCTTTAAGCATCTGCCAGAAAACCCTGCGAGGTGGACTCTAGCTGATGAGGAAGTGAAGTATCAAAAAAGCGCTTGTCCCAAGTGTCCCTAACCCCCTCAAAGAGAGCGGCGGGAGCCCTTTGCTTTGTGTCTGAAGTTGTACGGGCTTGGGCTGGTTCTGGCCGCCCGTTCCTTGCAATTGGTGTCTATTTCGGTAAGGACAGCGGGTTTCTACAGTCAAGTGTTCCTGAAGTGTTTCTGTTTTTAAAAGTGTTTAGTACCTGTTCCTTCAGCTCATTCAGCTGGGAGGTGAGGTGGGACACCAGCTTCATCGTGGTGTTCAGTTTGTCTTGAAGATTTCGGATCTCGTTCTGTTCCCCTTCCCCCTCATTGCTGACCAGTGACATGGCTCGCATCCGGGGGAACCAGTCAAGGTTCTTATTCTGGAAAGGCAACCATGGAGAATGGGAGTTGGAGGGGGTGAGGAGGAGGGAAGAGGCCTGATAGGATTTAACGGGAAGCCTGCCTGTGCTTGGGGAGTAAAAAAATTCCCAAAGGCTCGTCTTGTCTGTTTCTTTGCAAATTTCCCAGGAATAGTCCATTTCCAGTTTTTTCTTAAAGCCTTCTGGGCTCAAATTCAGAAGTTTTTCTTTTCTAAATTTCCTTTCCCTCCCTTCTTGCCTTGAAATTACCTTGAAGTCACACTCTCTACTGCTTGGTTCTGCCCTTGGTTCAAATCCTTAAATACACAGCACAAAACATCAAATAGACAATGCGGTATTGGCTGAGATTGCAAAGTGGAAATAACCAGCTACGAACGAACAAAAGCACAACAACATTATTGAATATTTTCCAAAAGCTCCTTCTCAAAGCTGTTTTTCTTTGGCAAGCCCCTTGTTCTCAAATATTTCCCCGGGGTGGGCAGGTTGCAATAGTGAAAGAGCTGCCTTGAGAGGACACGTACCTTTATCATCTGCGCCACGTAACTCTCCGGCCCTGTGTAGTCTGTCTTGTTCTTCACTCGCACCAGCACTATGAAGTACAAGTAGTTCCACATGTTGTGCTCGTATTTAATATGCTCCTCAAAGGACACTGTCTTGTTGTCAAACTTGTCCCTTTCGAGTCCTGGGAAAGGCAGTCAAGAACAGAGAAGGTGGAGGGAGGAGATGGGGAGGGGAGGAGAAGGTAAGAAGTGAAGGCAAACAAATGTGAAAGGAAGTACAGATAATTGCATCCTCTCCCAGGTTTCACTTTCAAGAAGTGCTTTTAATAATTAGTTGGCATTTAGCACACGACAAGCATCCAAAACAGGGAAAATAACCCAGCTGTGTATTCAGGAGGCTTCTATTTAAAGTACTGCTAGCTCTGCTTCCTGCCTATGTATCTAAAAGCATAAAATGCACACAGTGGCTCTTGTAAGAAAAAACCAGCTAGACTTACTGGGTTTTTCCCTTTTTTTGGATGCCTTCCTATGACTGAAAGCATTCGAGAACGTTTTCTGTGTCTTATTTCCTTATTAATATGGTGCTTTTTCCCCACTGGCTAAGTGATGGTCTCGGGAGTGATAGATGCACAGCAACAAGAACTCCACAATGTGGCCTTTCAGTTTAACACCTCATTAACAGAAGGCGGGGAACAATACAGACAATTTCCCCTCTCAGTTTGTGTCCTTGTTTAAGCCTCCTCCCACTGCAGCGACCCATCGGTGAACAGATTTAAGTTTTGCTGTGAACCAAATGAAAACCAGAAACCAGCTGCAACTCCTTTCCTTCCCTCAGCCTTAGAAGGGGGAGTGGGGGGAAGAGCTTTGGGGCAATTCCTGTACAGCGAGGTCCCAGCACTCACCGCATATAAAACAGGTGGTCTTCAGTATCTCTTCCTTCTTTTGCTTCTCACTCCTCAGATCAGCAAAAGTGTCAATAATGACCCCAAAGATGAGGTTAAGGACGATGATAATGACAATAAAGAAGAAGAGAAGGTCGTAGACAACTCGAGCAGGAAACAAGGACTCCTGTAATGGACCAAAGGGATAAACGTGTGTCTCCTCTAGCCACTCCAACCCTGCTGCCTTGGTACACGGGCCACGGGCTGAGGGTACCGGGTGGGGAGGAATAACAGGGATGCGATAGGGGAAAGAGAGGAGGAAAGCACCGGAGGACGGGGGGCGGATAGAGCTGGAAGTGTCACACTTCCCAGGGAGGGAGGGCAGCTGCACAGCAGTATATGCAGCAGGACTTAGGGGGGGGGGAAAAAAAAGGGGTCCCACGTGCTGCCCAAACTCACATCCTTCGATGGCTTCCGCAGAATGTCACCCACGCCCCCTCCATTCCTCAGGCCATGGTTCAGGACAGTGACGATGCACATGAGCAGCGTGTCGCAAGCGCGTTCCCACTGGTCAACATCTGTTTCTAGAGTAGGGGAGGGGGAAATAAAAGCAAAAAGCCAGAGCATAGACAGGGCAGAAGTACCAGACCATTGCAAAGAATCCAGAGCTGCGGGGATGACACTTGCTGCAGTGATCCAGTGGCAAATCTCCTGGGAGCAGATGCTCGTTGTGGATCTCCCAACCAGCAACTTCCCAGCAGCTCCTCCAGCTTGCTTCTTGCTGTGGAGGTGTTTGGCTGAGCACTCCTGAGGCTCCCACTTTCTTTATGACTGACTTGAATCTACCTCAACATTTTTTATGCCAGGGCCAGTGCAAAATTTGCAGGCCTCTTGCCTAATATGTGCCAGAAAGTGAGTTGTTTGTTTCCATCTTTGAAAAGCTAGGATTTTTCTGAGCTCGCGGACAAACGAGGCAGCCAACCTACTCTGCCGCTAACAGAGTTGACCTTTCTAATGAGCTCACCTTCCAAGGCAGTGGGCACAGCAGAGCAGCTAATTTTGTCACCGCTGCATGACTCCATGAAGGTCTCCATGTTCCTTTGCATCCCCAAGGGGTCATCTGCAAGTAAA